CTATATACTTGTACCTGCATGCTTACACTTGCTAGGTTGTGATCACTGTACTACTTGTTCCTATTTATATAACTCTGCATGTGAACTGGCCTTGTGGCCATTTGCTTGTGCTCAGAGTGTGTGGTGACTTTGTGATCCACGCTGAGCTTGCTTTGCTTTTCTTGACTGGTCTTGTGACCCCTTGTTCTCCCCCACTTTGCCTATGGGGGTGTGTCAAACTGTTATGTTCTGTGTTGTGTAGGCTGTAGTGGGGTAGCCTATATGGGGTACAACCCAATTAGGGTTAGTACTTGTATCACTTTCTTACTCAATGCAATCATTCCTGCTCATTAGATTCTGACACGGTCGGCACGTGACCGACCTGGCACTTGCGCAATGTGCGTGATGGTGTACGACGTGCTCAACTGTCTATCTGCATCATGGAAAGTAGGTGCGTGCACGTGCGCTATAGACATCTGCGGTTGCAATGCTGACAAGCTGCCGTAGTGCAGCGCTGGCATGTCAACGACTTGATGTGTTGGCAAGCCGCCTTCCAGCTGCGTTGGCACGCCATCGATTTGCCGCGCTGGCAAGCCGCCTCTGTGCTGCGCTGGAGGTCGACCTGCTTGTCTGCTAGGCTTGTTAGGTCCCTGATCTAGTTATTGTTGCCAATTCCATTTGCATCAATGTTCTCCGATTGTTTTTGTGAAACTCTTGCTCTTTTGCCTTGTGAACACACAAGTGTTAGGGAATACAAGGAACCATAGTCCAGCACCCAGTGTAGAGTGACTCTCCGCATGGTGGGGGGAGCACGGACAGCCCCTTAGATTACCTTCAGATTAGTAGCCAACTTATCACACACCTAAGTTATTGCTACCCTGGCAGCCCAAGTAGACCATGGTGCCCACCTCCAGAGAAGCTAGAGGCATGGAGGAGACCTTGGGGGCACAAGAGTGCTCGACGACGCCACACGGCTGGCGTGACATCAACTCCTGCTATCAGGAATCTATACCTTCTGCTAGTATTGAATAAGCTGAAATCATATGTAGCAAGCACAGCTAGAGTAGTTTCGCTGTTGGATTACAGTGCCGGGTACGAGATCGCTGGATAAGAGATGTAGGAGGTCAATCAGATCTAGATCTGGTCTTGACCTCCAATATCTTGTTTCCATGATTGAAATTGGTTGGGTTTTCTAGGTCATAAGCGGTGAATTTGGTGGCAAGGAAGAAAATTGTTGGAAACAAGTTTCTTAGGCAAATTCGTGGAATGGGGTGGGCTATGAAAAACGGTTTCAACAATTTGTGCTCCCATTTTTGCGCATAAAATCCTGCACTACCTACTAGATTTCTAGGTTTTTTTGCCTGCCCAGGCTTTTTGTCACCTGCCTGTCCGAGTGTCAAACCAGCGTCATTTTTCTCGAATGTTGTGCCCGCACTGCACCCGCCATCGCACAGGGACGGTTGGCCAGGGGCAGATGCATTCAGTGGGGGGAGGGGCGTGCAGTGGGGCAGGATTCCTAACCCGATCCAACCTCGGGTCGGCCCACTGCAGTCGCCCACGCCTGCTGTCGCTCACTTCTGCTACTACTATTTCTACTGCTGCTGCTGCTGCTGCTGCTGCAGTCCTGCTGATGCACTGTGCTGCTGCCTCTTCTGCTTGCATGGCAGACTACCATCTGCTTGTGCCACATCCCAAAAACGTTTGGGCCGAACCCCCCCCCCCCCCCCCCCCTCAGGTTACCCACGGCTTACCCTGTGGCGGGATACCCCGTGGTCCTTGTCTAGGTGACCCGCGGGTAACCTCGACCACAATCACCTCCCGTGGTGACCCCGAGGTCACCCATTGGAGACCCCTCCCATCATGCGGGAGCAAATCACACGCGAGTCGCTTTCGCACTATGCTATACATCGCCAACATTACAGAATTTTGCAAACAGTACGTGAACGACTACCTACAGTTTATTGGCGAACAAATTAGCGTTAAAAAGAAAACAAAAATCTGATATAGCCACAACTACTTTTGTTAAAAACAAAAATTAATATTGCTTAGTATAGTTTCGCAACAATGAATTCCACCATAAATGAGATTTGACAAATTCACATATTATTTTTTTATTTTGTGACTGGCTGCAGTGATTAGCGCTTTGCACATTTTGATCTGCACATTTCATATACAACATTACGAACAACAATGTTACTAATTGGCCACTTTCTAGCATGCACCCTACATGCAGCATGTTGTAGACACTATAATACTCACTAAGGAAAGCTCCTGCACAAACCTCACTACCCAATGCATTATGTTGTTCTCCTACAGCATACAATAACAAACGAGATAGCAGGAACAAACGACATAGCAGGTTCTTACCTCACGAATACATGACAAAGCATGACAAAATCGCCTTCCGTATTCTGCATAGAGTGGCGACATTCAGCCAGGGGGGGGGTGGGGTAAGAGTGAGGAATGAGTAGTGAGAACAGGAGAAATATTAGTGCACGAGGAAACATATAGAGGACCCGGATGGATTGGGAAACAACGTTGTCACGCCGCTGGTGTCTATTATGCACCGAATGCTCACGAGAAAAGAAGTCTTTCCAGATAGGAAGCTAATGTCTTGGTGATACGCCATCTGCAAAACCTTGCGGTGAAGGCAACGAATTGCAAGGAAACAAATCGTGTGATGGCGAGAAGGCATGAGGGAAACCTGGATGCCGACAAATAAAACGGCGGCAATAGAAAACATAGTGATGCCATGAAGCAAGCGGAATGAGTGACGCTCATCCTGAAACCCCATCGTACAGCATTTCAACTCACCTTACGACGAGCGCCAATTCTTAGGTCGATACGCGTAGACCTTGGGAAGATCATGCATCACTCCCGTGTTCGATAATCTGCCATGAAGATACGATCGTGAACTACGATAGATTAGATGCAAGTCATTGAAACAGCGGCAACATCTAAAATACTATGACATCGCTAGTAGAAAGGGGAAGGAGCCTATTTCCTAAATGTGTAAGCAAAACCTAACCACCATTAGAAGCTCATCATAGTTAATCGAGACAACCTGCTACTTGTTCAAGTAAGCAGCGTGGAGCTCTCGTTGTAACTGCTCTACGTGAGTATCATGAGCTGAAAACGACATAAGGAATGACGAGTGAGAAACAGGATGGATGAGGATAAGTACTTGAAAGGTGCTGGGAGAGAAGAGGCAGTAGAAGGTGTTGTCGAAGAGCTCCGATTGGTTGGTGAACTAGATTGTGCCACGTAACCCAACCCATCACTGGAACTACCATATGTTGAACGATGTGATAGTAAACCCAGAATCGGAGAAGACACAATCGTAATTTGTCAATTCGACATGTTGAGAAACGAAGTGTACAGTAAAAGGCTTACCCACCATTCCCGTACGTGGCTGCCTTGGCAGATTCAAAGTAGTGACAAAATAGGCAGGGCCATGAACTTTCCCGCCGAAGTTGGTTGGGGTAGCCTCGGGGTACTCTCCCAAACCGTAAACCGATTCGATTGGTCGAATGTTCTGTTACCACGTTGGGCGCTACGGTTGGCGGTTGTCGCTGACGTCGCCACCGTCTGGGGTAAGCTGTAGGTAACTTTAGAGTGAACTTGTGGGTCTCCTTGTGAGGGTGACTCTGGGGTCACCATCATTCTCAAAGTGATTTCGGCTGAGCGAATTTTGGGATGCAGAAGGAGAAAGCTCAGCTGTCAATTGCATGCTTCCTGAGATACCATCTCCTTGTGGCAGAATCTGAGAACCAACGTCTGGCTTCATGCTTCACATGTGAGATCGGTCGCCATTGGCATGCCTAGGCATGGCTGGAAAGCATGTTTTTCCCTCATGACCTGCCTCTCCTGCTCCCTCCCACCCCCCCGGTGTGGGCTGGACAGCAGGGTGCAGGGGAACACATGTATCACGCTGATTCTTGCCTAGTCACCTTCTGCCCCTGTCACCTTCTCCCTGTCACCTTCTCCCTGTCACCTCCTCCCTGTCACCTTCTCCCTGTCACCTTCTCCCTGTCACCTCCTCCCTGTCACCTTCTCCCTGTCACCTTCTCCCTGTCACCTTCTACCTGTCACCTTCTCCCTGTCCCCTTCTCCCTGTCCCCTTCTCCCTGTCACCTTCTCCCTGTCACCTTCTCCCTGTCACCTTTTGCCCCTGTCCCCTTCTCCCTGTCACCTTCTTCCTGTCACCTTCTGCCCCTGTCACCTTCTCCCTGTCACTGTCTCTCCTTTTCCCCACCTCTCCCCACTCCCCTCTCAGGTTCGGGCTGGACAGCAGGGCGTTGGGCCACACCAAGTTGGCACGATCCTGCACACACTGCAAACTCTTTGCTCAGATTGGGGCACCTGCTGCGTTTCCAGTGCACTCGCGGCATGACTTCCTCACCCAACCGTCGCATTGAGCATTACACGACCTAAACGAAAGCTTCAGATTTTGCGGGTCCTAAGCTTGGTGTCTGCTGTATGGGTCTTTAGACTCGACGAGAGCTGAGTTTTGAAACGCGCACATGTTTCACACTAGCTATGTTTTGCAAGTGCTTATGTAAGCAAAATAAAAGGTTCATGTAACAAGCCTGTAGAAAGAATGGAAGTTGACTAGAAAACACATAACATCAAAGGTGCTCTAAAAGTCTATATGTCTTAACAATCTTGTATTGTGTCGTACTCCTGACACACACACACACACACACACACATACACACACACACACACACACACACATACACACACACACATCAGTTGCTCCATCAGTAAGAAATTTGCACATCAGCATTTGATAGTATGATCTCTTTTCGTTTTATTTCGCCTAACTCGTTGCAGCACACACTCACATTGGACTGACGTTTTTCCCATATGGAGGTGCATCATCACCCTCTACAATTATGAGGCAGCTTAGAGATTATTCACACTCTTGTAAGGGCACAGACCCATATAGTGAGTGTCATAAAGGCGAAACACCCATTATTCACAGCTCAGACCACGTCTTATAAATGTGAATCATCCTGTTATCCTGAGGCCTGCTCTCCAATCTTCATAATTTCCGTGTCGAGGCTTGCGACACCGGCGACAACATCCTTCATCTCCTGCACCTGCGCATCCACCTTGACTGCAGCACACAGCACCTCTTTCCCCCCCACTGCCTCGCGAATGGCCTGCAGCTCGTTGGCAACCTGCAGCATGCTTGGGCGGTCTGCAGTGCGCTCTCCAGTGCAGGCGAGGGAGATCTGAGCCACTCGCAGCACAGCTTCAGCAGGGGCGTCCATGGTGGGGTCCATGAGGCTCCCCACGTCATTCTTGGACAGGCACTCCGCCACCTGAGGGGGTTGAGAAGATTGAGGGTGGGAGAAGGTGGAGAGTTTGGAGAGGGTGGAGGGTTTGCAGGGTGTGGAGGGAGTGTTGAAAGGTGGAGCAGGTGGAGGGATTGGGAGGGGACATATATGGTATTCAAGAAGCTGGAAATATTTCCTTTGGAGAATATGCTATTTGAGTCTTTGGAAGTACCGGCAAGTGGTGCTCACCCACAGAGTGATCTGACGTCCCTGTGAGGACCACTAGTGTAAAATGGACGAGGAAAGAAAGGAAGTACCACAACCACACATGTGGTAGTGGCGGAAGGTGGTTTCATGGGTTGAGGTAATTGCATACGCGGTGGTCCCATGGGATAAGCACTTACCCACGGAGTGATCTTCCAGCTCTCTCCAGCAGTTTCCGAGATTGGCTCTCGTCCCGTGAGGACCACCAACATGAGCACTCCAAAGCTGAAAAAAAAGCGGACATGTTCAAAGGCACAGAATGTTCAGGGCACAAGATGGCAGAGGAAGAGAAGAGGGGAGAGGCACATGCTTTTCAGATAAGTTTTATTTCCTGACCGCAACATGTACAGGTCCATATATCACACACACATAAGATTTGGGGCGGGTCTTATTGGGTGCTGACTCCTACTACAATGCATTTCTAGTTTCTCCTTTACTGAATACTATGCACTTCCAGCAAGGACTTTTGTACGCATCACTGCTTCACATGTACACCTCACTGGCCCACCTGCACACATCGCTGGCAGCGGTGCCTTGGAGTAGACTGGATCCCCATAGGGCCTTTGCAATGATCACCTCTACACCTCACTGGCCCACCTGCACACATCGCTGGCAGCGGTGCCTTGGAGTAGACTGGATCCCCATAGGGCCTTTGCAATGATCACCTCTACACCTCACTGGCCCACCTGCACACATCGCTGGCAGCGGTGCCTTGGAGTAGACTGGATCCCCATAGGGCCTTTGCAATGATCACCTCTACACCTCACTGGCCCACCTGTACACATCACTGCCTCACCTGTACACATCGCTGGCTGCAGTGGCCTTGGACGTGATGGAGTAGACCGGATCCACATAGCCCGGTGTGCCCATGATGCGCGTTGTGCCCACGGTTGTGCCCTCCCCCATCCTCAGCAGACCAAAGTCGGCAATCTTCACCTGGTGACGGCATTGTAGCATGAGGAATTAATCACTCAGTGAGAACTCTGGTCGCTTGTGATGCCATCCACAAAAGAGCATGAAATGTAAGTAAAAGGGTTTGTGAGTGGGCTGAGTAAATGGTTGCTGTGAGAAACGATATATGAAGTTGAAAGACATTCCAGCCATAGTTGGTGTAGTGTTGTGCCAATGACCCCTCGTTCAAACTTATATATATATATATATGTATATGTATATATATATATCATCTTCACTAGACAGGATCCACTACGACGACCAAGCTTGCCTGCATGCTGTTGGTGATGAGGACGTTGGCAGGCTTGATGTCGCGATGCACGATGCCAAAGCCGTGGAGGTATTCGAAGCCCCGTGCCAAGCCGATGAGAATGTCCAGCCGCTGCTTCAGAGTCAGAGGGCAGGATGCCTCTGCAAGAAACACGTGGCAGGGGATGAGTGGAAAAGGATGAATGGTAAAGGACGAATGGCACAGCATATGATTGGCACAACATATAATGGCACAGCATATGATTGGCACAGCATATGATTGGCACAGCATGAGTGGCAGAGGATGAATTGCAGAGGATGAATGACAGGGGACGAGTGGCAGCAGACAAGTGGCAGAGGATGTGTAGAGGATGAGTGATAGAGGAAGGGTGGTAGAGGATGGGTGGTAAAGCGTGAGTGGCAGAGCATGAATGACAAAGCACAGGTTGCCTCTGCAAGGATGTGCAGCATAAGTGGCACATCATATAATTGCACGGCATATTTATGACACAACATCTGCGCGGCACAGCACGCCATCTGCGTGGCACAGCAAAAAACACGCTGGAGGAGTATCACGCATACTTGGACCAATCCATCTGTTAAGGTCGCCATTGGGCACATATTCATAGATCAGAACTTGCTCTGGCCGAGTCCTCAAGTCTCCTCCGATCGCAAATCCAAGGAGCTTCACAATGTTGGGATGGTTCTTGTCGGCCATCTGCTGGATCTGATCCACACAGCCAGAGGAAAAGAAACAAATATGATCAGGGATGACAGAACAAATGGGAAGCAGCCAAGGGAATGTCCTAAATTTACCAGCATTGAAGACACGATCTATAATTAGTTGAACAGCAAAAGACATCATGGCAATGTAACATTTCAATAGAGCATATAAATCTTGACGTGGGATTGAAAATGATGTCACTGACACATGCCATCTTATCACGGCTCACCATGGTTCACCATGGCTCACTGACAAAACATACCAGCTGCAATAAAATTTGCAACCTTCACATGTGCAGCTCACTCACTGACCTCTTTCTGAAAGTCCACGTCGATCAGCTTGGCGCGCTTGACAGCCCACATGGTAATGCCATCGCGGGGAGACACACCCTTGTACACATCGCCAAAGGCACCCGAGCCCAGCTGGTTGTCCTCGGACCAGTCATTGGTGGCCTTGAGGACTTCTGCTAGTGAGAATTCGGTGCAGTGCGAGGATGCCAGGCTGCTCCCCGAGCCTGCTCGTGGGGTCATATGTGAAAGGAGGTGCATGGGTGCAGGGGAAAATGCCTGGGCACGAGTTGAGTGGAGTCGAGTCAGGTCGAGTTCGGCCGGCCTCAGTCGAATCATGTGACGAGTCGAGTCCCATGACTTGGCCCAACATTCTAGGGAATTGATTTGCGGCGTGCCAATCAGTTCACGGGATATTCTACACAGAGCCTCTACGAATCTTTGCAGCTCCAAAACCTGGAAACTGAGATTTAGACCATCTACTGCCTCAACACCTTGTGCCACTTAAGTTCCAGAGCTGTGTGGCCATGCATACAGGCCTGTACGCTGGGGATTGAAGTGAATGCGTGCGCCAAGCCACGCTGTTAGTGGGGAGTCGATCTCACTCATTTCATGGCAAGAGATTTGAGAGCTCGGTTTCGGCTGCTGGATTTTGTCGAGTCGAGCATGATTAGTCTTGCAGACTTGCATGCAGATGTCTAAGTTCATGCAATGGAGAACTTGCTCCTCACTTATCGCCATGGTTGAAACAAGACAGGGTTTGGTTATTCAGAATGAACTCTTCTGGTCGCTTTGTCTCCCTACCTTGTGGTTTCAGCTTGATCTTGTGTGTGAAGTAAAGCAGAGTTGCACCAAGAAGTAGGAGAATGACCATAGCGGCAACAACAATGCCAATGATGGCGCCCAATGACACTGTACCCGCACCTCCTGCTGAGGAAGAGTTGCAGTGGGGATTGCATGAAGGTTATAACTAGAAGAGTTATCAAGAGGGCGTGATAACGTGTGAGCAATAAACGTTCAGCCAAGCAGGCAAGTGCGCAAAAAACGATCAGAAGGGTGATGCTCCGCGGTAAGAGAGCCTAGATTGATCGTAATTTTGCATGATCTCAATGCGAGAAAACTCTACACCCCTCTTATTGTCCAAAGTAGGTGAGGTGCTTTTTAATAATTCGGGCAAGCATTGTGTCATGCCTTGTCCCATGCCTTGTGCCCATGCATTCTGCCATGCCTTGTGCCATGCATTGTGCCCATGCATTGCGCCATGCGTTGTGCCATGGCTTGTGCCATGCATTGTGCAACGCCTTGTCCCATGACTTGTGCCCATGCATTGTGCCATGCGATGTGTGTGTGTCATGTCTTGTGCCATGCATTGTCCCATGCTCTGTGCCATGCCTTGTGCTCATGCCTTGTGCTCATGCCTTGTGCTCATGCCTTGTGCTCATGCCTTGTGTTCATTGTGCTCATGCCTTGTGCCATGCCTTGTGCCATGCCTTGTGCCATGCATTGACATGCCTTGTCCGTGCGTTGCCTTGTCTTTTGCCATGCCTTGCCACGCGTTGCTTGCTGTACTCTGAAATGCCTTCCTCCATGCATCGAGTTTTGACTCTTGAGACCGTACTTTGCTGATGTTTATTTACTTGCCTGCAGATTGGTAGCAAGTCTTGCAGAAGGATTGACATGTGCCACAAAAGGCTGCGTTGGGAGATTGTGTTGTGCCACAGGCGGAGTAGTCAGGTGGGCATACGAGGTTGGTGCCAGAGACGTCACTGCAGTGGAAACGGGAAATGGAAAGGCGGAACTCATGGGCACAACTGCACGTACACTTTTTTTGTAAGCTGCGAAAAGCTGCAAGACTCTACTAATCCTGCAAGAGTGCTCTTTATGGCCCACCCATGTCAAGTATATATCACACTGCTTACTTTTTTTTTTACACCTTTGGTACTTGCTGAAGCCTACTCACGGGTTCAGTTCCAGTTAAGTATCTTCTCAAACATACTTAGAAGTTTATTCCAGATTGGTACTTGCTCAAGCATACTCACAAGTTCGGTTCGGTTCTGGCACTTTCTCAAGCCCACTTGCTCAGCCTATTACAAGATCAGTTTGGCTTTTATACTTGCTCAAGCCTCTTACAAGGTTTGTTCGGGTTTCATACTTGCTCAAGCCTACTTACAAGTACTTCAATAAAGTGAAGCCTCCAATCTCAGCTGGAATCTCACCGCTGAGATCATTATCAGAAAGGTTTCTGGTCACAAGGGGTGGATGAAAAGTACAGGAGAAATCTCAGTTAGCCTAGCCTCCTGCACACAGCAACGCAGCGCCGTGCATCCATCTACATGAAGCAACGCAACAACACATGATTGAACCATGTATGGGTGGTCCACGGGACTGGGAAACAACTACTGAGAGAAGATGCATGGTGCTGGCAAACCACTGAACTGGTCACAGGTCGTCCCAGAATGCTTAGGAACGGCAACTGGGGTGTGGAGGGGCCACAAAGCGCTAATGGAAGTGAGTTGATAGATCTAGATCTGTTTGTAGTCATTAGCTGATCACGCTCTCAGAATTCTTTGAAACAGACTGTGGAGGGCCAAACAACAACGTACAGATAGTTGAGGCGATCAAGCAATTCAAAGTCACTGAATATGTTGCCACTGAGGGAATTGGATGAGAGATCCCTGTGCATTGTGTGTTGTGGGAATTGGATGAGAAAAAGAAGAGATGAGTATAGCAGGCATGGCGGCCCACGGGGGTTCGATGGGTCGAGATCCCATCAGGTGGAGAGCACTGTTGGGAGCACGGAGGAGAACAAGCAGCCTTCGCTGGAAGCAGGGAGGGTGGGGGGTGGAGGGGAATGTAAGTAGTTGGGGAAACGTAGTTTAGGTTGTGGCATGAGGGAACGCAAGGAACTGGGATGGTCTTTGAAAGAAGAATGGAAAAGGGCACATGGATGGGCGCACAGCACACGAGCTATGCGAGTGGGAAATGAAGAGCAAAATGATGTGGGAGAAGACAGAATTCCACTTCACAAACTCCTGCAAGTCTGCGAGCTTTCAAATGCAGTGCACCGAAACTGTGGGAGCGTTTTGAATTAGAGGCAAACGAACTACTCCATAGTATATGACCGCAATCCATCAGCATTGGTTCCACCAACCAACTTGAAGTAAATTGGAATAGCTAGGTCCGTCAAGGGAGTGGTCATGAGCCTATTGTAAATACATGGCTATCCTAGCTCATGACGAGCCTACTTGGCTCGGACGAGCCAAGCCAACCTGGCAAGAATCTAGTTCTGTGACGGCCAAAGGTCGGCCATTGCTCAACCCGAAAGCCTCAGGCCAGCCCGACCAACAATGCAGGCTGGACAAGACCAGCATGCGGCACTAGTTTTGCTCATCCCTAGCCTAGGAGTGGAGGACAGGAGAAGGAGATGCAGGACATTCAGCCTGGATTGGCTGTCGAGATGCTTCATACAGATAAGTGAGCCAAGAAAGCATGGAGATGCCATTGGGAATCGAACCCGCCAAGATGTTGTTCGACAGAGACCTGTGTGTGTGGGTTGGGGTAGAAGTGAGGAGATGAGATTAGAGGCACACAAGTTCAACCTAATTGGCGGATGAGGAGAGCATGGTGAGAGACAGGCATGAGTAACATTTGAATCGAACTTGAGATTGAGTTAATTCACGTTACTCGAATTGACCAAACTTTTTAAATAACACAGTCCAGAGTGCATCGAATGGCATCAAACATGGGCCTGGGAACAAGGTGCAAAATAAGAAGAGTTTTTTAGTCAAATTGTGACTAGGGATGAGCAAGGGGCGAACACGAACATGTTCGCGTTCGCCCCAGCTCGAACACTGCCGTTCGGCGAACCGAATTCGCCTGTAGGGCGAACATCTTGCATGCTAAGGCGAACACGAACGTGTTCGCCCCTGGGCATCCTTTGTTATGCTCAAAATACGCAACGGCGGGCAGGGAATTGCGGGAAACTGGGGGAAAATATCTAGGCTGGATCAGCATTTTGCGAGATTTAGTTACGGATCCATAGTTTTTTTTATCCAGCTCGCCACCTGGATTTCCCCCCACGTAAGGCGAAATGCTCTCCCCGTTCTATATCTACGAAATTTGCAATTGCTCGCCAACCCCCCACAACCCCCCAACTCACGAAATATGCAAACGCTATTCCTGTCAATCCCATGCATACGAAATTTGCGAATGCCTTACCCCCAACCCTCAACTTACGAACTTCTGCGATATCCCTGTCTAATCTTTTCCCGAAAACCTAAATCTCGCATACCCAAGTCTATACAGACTAACCTAAGGTAACTACTTAATTACGCTAAGTCCTAATGAGGTGATAACGGCGTGATGTGTGGGGGGCGTGGTAGTAATGGCTGCTGCTGAATAGCGCGACTAAGTTTGAGCTCAAATTTGAGCTCAAACAGAATGTCCCGCAACGTAAATTGTAGCCCGCCGGGACAGTCGCGTCGAACACATTCGTGTTCGTTTTTGCCCCCGAAACGAACACGAAAGCGTTCATGTTCGACGCGGCTCGGCAGCAGTAGTAGCGGGGCGATCACCGAACGTGTTCGGGCGAACACCGAACACGTTCGCTTCCGAACATTTTTAGCCAAAAAAAAATCCGTTCGGTTCGCCTCGAACGTGTTCGTTTCCATGCTCATCCCTAATTGTGACCGTAAAATTGTTGAGTGCAATATGCGTTTTGCACGTCAACCTACCGCCTATTCGCCGTCGGTGAAGGTAAATGAAGTTTTCTGTTTTGAAGGTAATTTGTTATGTTGAGGTGCGCATTTCTGAGCTGTACGTTTGGGCGTTTACGGTTCGTGAATCGCCCCTCGACTATTCATGAGTTATGAGCGTTTTCGTGAAGGGTTGCATTTGTGAGTGTTCATGAGTTTCCATAAGTGAAGGTGAGTGTTCGTGTCATTTTGTAAGTTCCGAGATTTTGTGTGCGATCGTGTTATTTCATGTGTTCTGCGAGTCACGGGTTTTCGTGAAAGTGTTGTGGATGTTCATGAGTTTGTTTGTGAAGCGTTCGTGTGAGTTCATGGTTTGTAGGTGAATTTTAATAGTTGCGTTTTCAGTTGTTTTGATGAGTTCGTTTGTAATTTCGTTTTTTTCGTTTATGATGTTTTAGGGGTTTCTCCCTATCGAGGTGGTCAAGGCTCGAAGCCATGAGCCCGAGCACTGTTGCGCCTTAGGCGCAATCATGGGGAGTGTGCCAGTCAAGGCACACGCGCGGCCTGAGGCCGCAAAAAGAATTCCTCGCCACACGCGCGAGTGTGGCAGTGAGGTGGCGCGTGGGAAAGGACGAGGGCATGTGGGTCAACAATTGAATTGTGGGACCCTCGAGCTGTTTGTCCTCATTAGCCGGGAGGAATTTCGCTAAGGGGTGTTTCGCGAAGCGCGCGATTTACATTCGAAGCTGGTGCGAATTGTGCGGGAGTGATTTCGGTGACTTAGTAATTTCATCGCGTAACTGCGCCATTTCTTCAGGAGATTCCGTAAGCTGTCACGAGTGGTCGCCACCGAGCGTCCACGAGGCTCATCGCGGACAAGTATGGCTTGAATATAACGTTGTGGGCGAGTATGTCCCACTGGTTCCGCATGTAGGTAGAAGTTGTGCAATTCACAAATATGGTTTTATGTTGT